GCTGAACCAGCGCATGACCCACAGTGACACCCCCTCACGCCAACCTGCTCTGCTGTGTGGCTGAGCTCCACGGCCAGGTCCGTTCCCGAGCTGCCAATGCCGACCACGACGACCCTCTTCCCCGAGAACTCCTGGGGCTCCTTGTAATCCCGGCTGTGGAGAAAGCGGCCTTTGAACGTGTCGATCCCTGCCAGGAGAGAGCGGAGCAGCTGTGGGTGGGCCCCAGGCCCCCGGCACTGCCCGGGGGGTCCGAGAGACAAGGGGACAGCAGGGTTGCCGGGGGCCCTGTCCGTATTCCTTGTGCCTCGGCGGGAGCTGCACGCACAGCACCTAGACAATCCAGGAGCTGGAAAATCCCTCCCCTCGCCGTGGGACTTGCGATGTCATCATCCTGCTTGTTCTCCGGCCCTTCCCCGGGATGGACGGGGACCCCCGATTTCCAGTGCCAGGGACAAGCCGAAAAAAACCGTCTTCAAAACGCCGTTCAGGACTGTACGGGAAATGAAGCCGACGTGGGCCCAAGCCAAGCGCTCCCCCCCTTTGCAGGTCCCCTCTAAAGCCCAGGTCCTGGAGGACACTGGCCTGTGGATGACACTGCTCGGGGGGGCAGCATGAGGCTGTATTTGGCCTGGAATCCGCTTTTCCTTGCTCACAACATCTGCGCCCCACTTCACTGTACCCCTCGGCCCACACGCACCACGGGGCTTTTGTGGCAGTGTTGGGAATCTCCTTTCACTTGTCAGTGTGGCATGGTACCTCCCCTTACACCTGCCAATAGCCACCCTGCGCCACAGGCCACCACACCGAAATCTTCCACTCGAATGTTGTTTGACGTTGTGTTTTCAACTGGCCCGGGAGGCCCGGCGGGGTACTGGCTGCACTGTGGGGTCTCCCTGACCTCGTGGCCTGCAGCGCGCGACTTACTGGAAATGTGGAAATATCACTTCCAAAATCTCCTGCCTTCTGAGCGGCCCTAACTCGGAGGGGTCTTGTAAATGCCTCCTCCAGGGTCCAGGCCTCCAGCACAGACCTGGGCACCCACCAGGAACCTCCGCAGACCTACTGCTGCCCCGGGCCACAGGAAGGGAGGGAGGACTGGAGGTTGAAGGGAACGTGTGGAGAGGCAGAGACACCGACAGGGTTACTTGTTACTTTTGCTCTCCGTGAGGTACCTGGGAAGGAGGCCAGCGGCAGATGGGGGTGGGTGTGGTGGCCGGTGCAAACCATGACCCCATCGAAGACGGCCGAGTCCTGCTTCCCCTCCGTCTCTGTGACCACGTCCCACTGGCCCGAGGTGGAGAAATCCGGGCGCTTTGTCACGCTCACCACATTGGTCTGGAAGGAAAGGGGCAGTCCCAGACCTGGCGCCCGGACACTTCGCCCGCTCCCCCGACGCTAGCCACCGCCCTGTGCCCGGTCTGAGGCTGCAGCAACTCTGGGAGCTGGGCTATAACATCCCAGAACAGCCCCTCCGGCTCTCCCTGCTCCATGAGCATGAGCGGTTTCCTCATGGGGGGATTTTTCCACCCAGACCCGCAGGCAGGCTCGCACACTGTCCGAGCCCTGTTCGCGGCCGGTCTGCTCACCTGGAAGCGGACGTGTCTCAGGAGGCCGAAGCGCTCGGCGTACATGCGGAAATACTCCATCACTTTGGAGTGGTGCATGTAGTTGGGGTAATCCTCCGGGATGGGGAAGTCACTGAAGCACATCATCTCCTTGGAGGTGTTGATGATGACGGATTTGTAGATGCTGGCCCTGCCCTCTTCGGGATTCTCCTGCAGGAGGGGGAGGACATCACAGAGCGTTACACTGGCCGTGCGGCCTGCTGAAGAACTAAAGCGCTACAAGAGAAACCGCCAGAAATACTGGCTGTGTCGGCAGAAGTCGAGGTGACAGTCGTCTCTCAGGGGTGCCGTTGTCACGGGGCACTGGCCCGGGGTGCAGCGGGAACACAACGACACTTCTTTATGTGTCCTTTAAATCCCCTATGAGGACGAGAACTACAAGCGCCCGGAGCAAAGAGATCTGAGCCCCTTAAACTTACAAGAATTACAGGGGAAACAAATGCCAGTGACTTTAGGAAGGGATCGTAAAACATAGCTGGCTGGCTGGCGTCATTCCCAGTCCTTAGAATTATTGGCGCTGGTTTCTAGTCCTTCCTCAGAAAAACCATGTCTTCGATTTGACTGTTATGCCAGGTGCCGAAATCACAGAGCGATGGTAGAAAGAATCGAAGGCCTTGTTTTCACTGCCGGAAGGCGGCGAGTTGTTTACCTCAGGCCCAGGGAGACTAATGTGCCTGAGGTTTTCTCTACGTAAATGCCCTGTAAAGACCAGGCATTTTAGTTTGACCAGGAATTGAATGTGGTCTCTGGAGAGGGCAGAGCGCTACTGACCTCCCAGGAAATCTAAAACTCCGGGTCCTCCCTGTCTTGGCCTGCACAGGCTTAGTGATGCTGAGGCAAACAGGGGGCTTTTTCCAGCCGCGAAGACAAGGCCTGACTCGGTGAAGCTCGGTGTCTACCAGGGCGCTGCTCACACAGGTACACGTAGGGTGCCCAGTTGTGGCTGGTGGATTCCTGCGGGTTTCATCACAAAACATAACCCCGAATTAAAGATTAATCTTTAACTTCCGGAGACTCGGGCAAACCTGGAGGGTGAGAGCCCTCGGGACGCTGCCCCAGCTACGGCTCCACTAATGTGCTTGCTGATAAGGAAATCTGGCCATGAACATCACTGTAAAGCTCAGAGGAAACTGGGCCCCGCGGGTCTAAGCTGAAGGGGGCAGCAGAAGCAGCTCGGCCGTGTGTGTTAAAACCAGAGGGGGTCTCCTTCCACGTGCACCGTCTTTCGGGCCTTGTGGACCTTGGTTACAGCTCTGCAGGCTCCCGCAGGCATCGGGCAGGGGCTCGGGCTGCAACAGCCCTTTTCGCCGCGACCCCGATCATACAGCTGCACCGGGGCTCCAGCAGGGCTAACTCTGGGGCAACCTAGCTGGTGTTCGCAGAGGTTTGTTCAGCTCCCTGGCGCGGTGGGGTCTGACACCCGGCTCCTGGCCCTCGATTGTTTTCTGCTCGGCCGGGCTGGCCCAAGGGTTTTTGGCACCCTAGGCAAACTATGACTTTGGCATCCGCCTGCCCCAGATTCAACAGAGAGAGAAATGAGCAGTGTAGAACGAAGTGTTGCCTTTATTTACGTGCCATTCGAAATAACAATGTCCGAGTACAAATACATATTGGTTTTGATTTTTTTCTACTTTTCCTTAACCCTAACACAATTATACTGCCGGCCCGAGGGTAAACCAGCCGGAAGCTGACACCTCCAAGTTTTAACCATTTTGACTTGTACACAGTGATTCCGGTGAGTGCGCTAAAAAGTTGCCTTTCACTCTTCCTTCCAAAAGAGCTGCTGTTGGGGAAGCGGTGAAAGCCTTTCTTCCTTGGCACTGAACGGAGTCTGGTTTTCAGTTGTAGCCCTTTTGCACTGGGCCATGGATTTGTGTACACGCTGAGAGCTTTGCAACCTTCTTTAAACCTGTTACCGAGTCCCACCCACTACAGTGTCTTTGTGGGCACAGCACCTTCGGCATCACAGCGAGTCACACAGCAGAACAGCTGTTGCCAGAGCCCGCTCCCAGGCGGCAAACCCGAGACACACTTGAACTGTGTTTCCATGCCCATCTGCGCGCCGCAATGTGAAACAAACAACAGAGCTCGGCGTCTGGCGATGGTTCACTGTGGACAAGCACGATATTGGATACGTTCGTTTCTGAGCGAGAACATGTTCATAAATGTTCTAAACAGAGAAAAAAAATTCCCTTCTGTCTAACCTGGCACCCCTTAAGGCTTGGGATCTCCCTATGCCAGGGGTGTCCAAACTTTTTTCAAAGAGGGCCAGATTTGATGAAGTGAACATGCGTGAGGGCCGACCATTTTGCCTGACATTCTTTGAACCATTAAAATTAAATGCAAATTAACTATTTTATGCAAAGTTTATTGCAAACGGCATACTTTTCATTTCGTCACATGGATGACAAATCTAAACAGGTGTTAAATCACTCTGCCTTTCATATCTGAAGGCCAGATGAAAAAAAAATCCAGGAAGCTGAAATATATGTCAGGAACATTGTAAAGTACATTACATATTATTGGTAATAAAGGTTGTCTGTCAACTTTTAAGTTCAAAAAATATGAACAGGAACATAACACCAAGTATACATGTTGTGTCCAAATATATTTATAACTGATTTAGACCAACTGACATTAACTGAGATTTTACAATGTATTCATCTCAATACATATGGATTCGTTGGGGGCCATAAAAGATAGATATTGCCAAATTACCTGTGGGGCCGTATTAAACCGGAACACAGGCCGCAATTGGCCCGCGGGCCGGACTTTGGACATGCCTGACCTATGCGGTGGGGCCGGCCCTGCTTCCAGGCAGCGGCTGGAGCGTGCCGAGAAACGCTGGTGGACAACGTCCCCCGGGGCGAGTGTGGACACGCCTTCACTTCCACCGTGCGCAGCGAGAAACTAGAACCCACCTCAAATCTCCAGAGCCCCCCGATGTCGTGGCTCCTCTCAAAGCAGGTGGGCTCCAGCCCCTCATCCAAGCAGCATTTAACGGAGCTCAGCCCACAGACGCCGGCTCCAATCACCGCAATCCTCTTGCGCGCCATGCTGCCGGCCTCTCGGCGCTGGGTCTGCCGCCAGGGACGGGGGGACCTGCGGGCGCAGCTCAGAGCCGAGAGTCGCATGCGCTGCAGGCGGACGGGGCTGAGCTCTTAAGCAGAGCGAAGCAGCGAGGGGTGGGGCACGATAATTGCTACCTTGGCAGACACGGGTTCCCGCAGCCGCCCTGAAGCACATCCACCCCACTGCATCCTCCCCAGGAAATGGGGGCGCTGCCATCACCCCCCCCCTGCCATTAACTCTTCCCCCATCCCCCCCAAAGAGATCCTCTCTCCTCCAAGTCCCCCACCAGCTCTGCCCACACATCTGTTCCGCCCCCCAGGCCCGTCATCCAGCAGTGCCCCAAGAAAGCCTGTCTCGCTCAGTTCTGCCCCACAGCCCGTCAGCCCTGCCCCGGGGCCCTCCTGCTACGGCCTGTAGCACGGCAGCTTTCTGGGGCACTGCTGAGAGGATCCAATCAGGGCAAATTACAGACCCTCCTCTCTAAGGCCCCCCGAGGGCTCCGGGGAGTGAGAGGCCTCCGCATGGCGAGTGACGCGGAGCAGAGACCCCGGCCCCAGGACAAGGGCGGAGAGGTGCGAGGTGGGGGATAAGCTGCCGTCGGAGGGAGCTAAGTGAGGCGCTCGGACGCCGGGAGAGGAGGTTCACTGGAGCGTGGCTGGGGCGCCAGGCTGGCCTGAGCTGCCAGGGCCCTGGGTTCACCTACGGGCTTCCTGGGCTGGGTGCCAGGGGGCTAATGAGGGGGTGGCCCAGTCTCTCGCAGGAATCTGGCTCCGCCGGACTGGCCCAACAGAGCTCACGGGGTGAACAGGGTCGCCAGATGGTTCAACAAAAATCCCGCCACACCTGCCGTTCCATCCCGTCTGGCTGGGAACGCGCCCCACACTCCTAGTGTCTGGTCTAGTGTCTCCCTTTGGTTCCCGGCCAGAGAACTCCAAGGCTGGACTGTCCGGTTCAAAAGCGGACCCTGGCAGCCCTAGGGGAGAAGCAGGAGGATGGAAGTCAGAGCGCGATGAGGCTGCATGGCCTACTCTGGGGACCTCGGGGGATCTGGCACATCCAAGGGGACCGTGAAGAGCGGGGGCCTGGCACCGGTCCTGGGGATCCCTGATGCGCGGTACGTTCAAGGCCCCTGGACTGAAGCACGAGGGCAGAGCAGGGAGCTGGCTGCAGGCGGGCGGCAGAGGCAGCTGGCCCTAGCGCTCCAGAATGCCAGGCGGACAGACGCAGCACTAGGGACGGGGCTCTCTCCTGCCATCTCTTGGGGACCCGCGGGCACTGACAGCGCACGAGGCTCCCCGTGCACCCTCGCTTCCAGGCAGTTCCGAGCTCTTGGAGCCAGACAGAGGGAGAGAAATTCCTTCCTTGCGTAAATGGTGAGAGACTCGTGCCTGAGGTGACTAAGCACAGGGAGAGAAATTCCTTCCTTGCGTAAATGGTGAGAGACTCTTGCCGGAGGTGACTAACCATGGCGTGACGATTTCATGTAAACCTCCCAGGTTCCCCAGGTTCTATTCCCGGGACAAGCGGCTCAGTATGGATATGTCCGAGGCGCCTCTTTCAGTCTTACGGCGGATGCGCTGTAACACGGCACATTCCAGTTCACCACACACCCAACTGTGGCCCTAAGAACTGAAGCAGGCCCGCTGTGTGTACACGCCAAAGGCTATGTCTACCTACAGCTGTTTCGCGGTAGTTCGGGGAGGATATGCCGTATTTGTACGTATGCCAGCACCAAAGAGGGCGAGTCCCGGCAGGACGACGGCGTTGCGGCCAGCACCTCTCTAAGTCATGCCAGGTCAAAATGTGACTGTCAGTACTTATTTATGCGGCACTTTAACGACACTGCCACACCAAGGTTTGTGTCTTCTAGCAGCGCAAGAGATATTTAAGGGAAACAGGTGCCAGCACCGTGGTTGCTCCAGTAAAGCAGGCCCAAGTCCCTGGTGGGCTCTTAGCAGCCACGTGTGACAGTGGAGGAGGGGCTGTTCCTGGCCGGAGAGCGTGCGAGTGTAGGGAGGGTTACAATGGATTTCTGCTAAAGGTGCAGGGAGGCAGCTGGAAAGCCACAGAATCCAGAGGAGCAAGTGCACGCTGGTCTTCATTTCCTACGCAACCGAGCAGCGAAGGAGCATTTCCAAGTAAGTACAGATGACAGCAAGAGAGCAACCCGCCAGCGATCTTAAGAAGTAGGGCACTGAGGCGTGGTGGGTACACCCTCCCACTGGCCTGGTTCTCAGAGGTTTCACGAGCCATCTCCTGGCTCCATCACGCTTCCCTGGCCCTCCCAGGCAGTACTGGTATGAGGTCCAGGGCGGAAGAAAACCTCCAGGGTGAGTTTCGGATCAGACTCATCCCACTCACAAGGAGGAAAGCAAACCTCAGGCTAACCAGTGGGGAAGGAGACAGCCTGGGCTTACCCCGGCAGGAGAGAGAAGCTTGCTGTGGGTTTTACCTTTAAAGAACACCTTTCCAAAGGCTCCAGGTCTGCGAACAAGAGGGCTGTAACTCCAGGGAGAAGCCAGAGAAGCTGGCTGTGTACAATATCCCTGAATGGTAAACAGGAATAGAGTGCGGTCTCTGTGACACTCAGGGTACGTCTAGACTACAGGCTTTTGTCGACAGAAGTTTTGTTGACAGATACTGTCGACAAAGCTTCTGTCGACAAAGAGCATCTAGACGACATTCAGTTCTGTCGACAAAGCAAGCTGCTTTGTCAACATGGCAGTGTAGACACAAAGGACTGTTTAGATGCAATAGCGCCTGTCGACAGAACTCTGTCGACAAAAGGCGTTATTCCTCGTAGAATGAGGTTTACCAGCGTCGACAAAACTGCTGAGTTCTGTCGACGTTATGTGGACAGAACTCAGCGGTAGAGTAGACGCAGGGTTAGTTTTGTCAACAAAACCCGGTAGTCTAGACACACCCTCAGTGACACACTCCTGTGATGAATAGCTTTGTGAGGTGTCTGGGCGAACGTGGCATTAGGAAATATCACCACTTAATGATACTGTGTTCTAAAGTCTGCGGCCAAACAGGGAGAGGCAGGTTCCCTCCCAGACAGGAAATCAGGCGGCTATCTACCTGTCTCCTGTGTCAATTACACATGGTGGAATTAAATCAATGGAAGGCTCGTTTCCATACAGGGGCTGGGAAGCCCACAGGAAGAGAAGAACAGCAGGAGATCTGCCCCCGCCTAGAAAAGCGCTCTAACCATTGGGCTCCCTCAGGCTCTCCCGCTGAAGCTGGCACGCCTAAGGCTATGTCTACACTGTAGCTTTTTGGGTGGGAAAACTACGCAAATTGCTGTCCATCGTCGGCGTAGCTTTTTCCGATTGCTTTTCCAGAAGAGGGTTTTCCCCGTGCAGAACGTTTGGCCCCGTGTAGAACGAGGCACACAGGGCTCCTCGAAAGGGCGCGTCTGCTCTCCCGTGCACAAAAGTGGAAGAGCAAAGGGGTTCCCTGGACACGGCGGAGTTTTCCCGGGACACGGCCGCAGTGTAGACAGAGCCTCGGAGTGGCTGGGCAAGAGAGAGTGAGCATGCTGTCGCCCAGTGGCGAGGCACGCACCTTCCCAGGCCCTCAGGGGCTCTGACTCTCAATGTGCGGGTCACTCGCTGATTCAGAGGGCTGGTGCTCGGTGAAAGGCTGGGCCTGGGGAACCCTGTCCTTCAATCCCACGATCTCTGCCACTCAAGGGCTTCCCTGGGGTGCCTGCCTCAGTTTCCCCAGCAGCGCTGCCTCAAGATGCAGCAGGTCTGTGGCAGAAGTGCCATTCCAGGCACAGGTGCCCAAGCCAGCACGGGGCCAAGCAACCGTTAACGAGCACATGTCCAGTCTCCCTCCTGCCACAGAGACATTACAGCCGGTGGAACTGTTGCGTGCAGGTCACCGAGAGAGGAAGGGCGGGAACCGGTTACGTCTTGTGTCATAACAGCCCCACCTAAACTTCCCGTGCCGGTCTGCGGCCTTTGCAGTCATAACAAATAGCAGCCTGCGACACATTTAATGGAGCCAACGACGTCTCATGTGACAGCACACAAGGAGCGGCCACAGCTGAGGGGGCGGAAATTCCCAAGGCATGACAGTGCGAGCCAATGGTTACACTGGAGGTGTGGCAGTGCCACCGGGAGCACGTTAGAAACCCTCTGAGGGCAGAGGGTGTTAACAACCCCCTCCCTAAGCAAGCAAGCAGAGGAAGAGCCGTTAAAAGTAAGCAAAAACGACAGCAAGGAGAGCCACGGCACCAACCATCGTGACCAGGTAGGGCACTGAGCTGTGCTGAGTACACTCGCCCACGGCCCTGGTTTTCAGAGGCTTAATGACCCGTTCTCGCTGGCTCAGGATGGCGTTCCTGGCTCCATCCCACTTCCCCGGCCCTCGCAGGCGGTACTGGTACGGCGTGCAGGGCCCAAAGAAAACCTCCATGGCCAGCTTTGGATCCGTGAGGAAGAGCGACAGCAGCTTGGGCTGGACTCCGGCCAGGCAGGCCACTTCATCCATGTACTCGATGTAATCCACTTGGATAGTGTGGCGCTGGCTCTTCACATACCTGCAAGGAGAGAGAGAGGCGCGGGTGCTCTTGGAACGTGGAGACCGCTGACCAGGACCTGACATTCCTGCGGGGCTGGAGTCAGCCGCGATCTGAGACATCTTACTGCTTAGGCCCCCACCTCCCATTTCGCTATTTAATCTTCTCCACAATCCCTTTCACATTCCCAAGTAGCAAAGAATAGAGAGGGGAGAACAGTTCCAGAGCAAATCAATGTTTCCAGGTGACATTTAACGAAGGGAGCTCAGGCTGGAAACACCTGATCCTTCATAGCAAGTTGTTGACATACTGGAGGCATTTCAGAGAACGATAGACGCTCCAGACAACTCTCAGGGAAAGACTCCTTCTGAGCATGCTCAATAAATATGACGTCACGTAAAAGTTCCTACCGTTTTGCCATTTCCTCTTTCTTCTGCGTAATATCGGCCACCATGTCGCTCTCTGGGGGTAGCCTGATGTGCCCTAGAAGGGACAAGCCGGAGTGTGAGCAGAGATGTGTCTGGCTCCTCCGGAAGGGGATCAGCCACGGCCGGACAGTAAGGGGCATCGGGGAAGGTGTTTCCTACAGAAAGCAGCACTGCACCCTGGGCTGGGAAGGCCGTGATGGCTTTATGTCCCCAAAGCTGCAGTCTCTGGCGCCCCCTGAACAGCCTGATTCTGTGAGACGGACATAGAGGTTAACCAGGGGTGGGGAACCTAAGGCCCGGGGTCTGGATGTGGGCCTCAGCTTTCCTGGATTTGGCCCCCAAGGCTCAGGGCTCCTCCCCCAAGCATTAGGGAACCCACACTACTGCTCCAGCCCCCCTTGCCGGCCTGCTAGAGTGGACCTCCCTAAGCTCTAGTGTGTGAGGGGAACATGGGGACCATCTTTCTCCTCCTCAGGCAGGGCCCACGTCAATGAGGGCTTGGGGGGTTTTGCTCTGGTTTGGTTCTGGTTTTTGGTTTTTGCTCTTCACTTGTGTGCAGCCTCCCACTGACTTTTCTGTGGGTCAGCAGCCCCCGATGCAAACAAGGTTCCCCGCCCCAACAGTCCATCTTCCTCAGGGACGGGCCTGGCTGCAAGGCTGAGATTCCTTTCCTACAGCTTTGGTATTTCCTGTCACTCCTCTGCCCTATTTCCTGGGATCACAACAGCCATGCTTCCAAAGCAGGAGGTGTGAAGGCCCAGCCACCAGGGAGCGGCCATCCTAGAGTATTTGGGGACAAAACAGTGCTATGGCAGAGAGGGATATGGGCTGGCTCGCCATCACGACACTCGAGCGTGGCTTGTTCGCCACTCAGTACCAGCCAGGGTCTGCACCGCTCTGCTGAGCTCAGCTAGGACCATGCCCAACCAGCCAGGTCCTCCATAGACACAGGCTTCGGGGTTCTGAGAGCTCTACCATCCAGAGACCCGGGGCTGTCTCCTGCATTTTGGGTCACGTACCCTTGAACACTTGCGTGGCCAAGCGACTCTGGAGTTCGGCAATGGGCATGATGGCCCCCAGGGGCTGGACGAGGCCAATGAAAGCCAGAGTTGGCTTCTCCAGGTGCGGAGGGAAGATGAATTTGTACAGGGAGACCTGGTTTTCGACCACTTTGACACAGTCCTGGAGGAAGGGGAAAGAGAAGCTGTAGCCTGTGGCGAAGAAAACAGCACTAATGTCCTCCTCTCTGGTGCCGTCTTCAAAGATGACGCCGGTTTCGGTGAATTCCCGGATGTTCGGCTTCACCAGCACCTTGCCGGAGATGATGCGGTTCGGCAGGTCGTCGTTGATGGTTGGGTGCTGGCTCGTAATCCTGCATGGCAAAGAGAGGGTGTATCAAGCTCTGGCTGGAGAAATGGCGTCCCTCTGAAAGTGCGGGAGGCTCAGGGAGATGGTCTGGCCTCCTCTCCTCTGTCCCAGTAGAATTCGGGTCAGGCAGTGTAACCACTACTAGCGGCACTAGTGCAAAAGCCTGTTTCAAGGTGCTCGGTGTCCATCTTGGCTCCAGTAGCATAACGGGCCTTATAGGTGGCAGAAACGGCCTCCAGAGATTACCCACAGGTCGGAGACACCCCGCTATGGCCAGTCCTCCCAGTGGTCACAGGAAGGAGGGTGCAAAATCTGAGGATGCTCTAACTTTGCGGACTGCTGGGGAGGGCCCTGCATGGTGCCAGAACATAGGGAACAGACAATCGCCCGCCCACCCACGCCCCAAGTGCAGTGATGGTGGCCTAGAAAAGGAGGACTAAGGTATTTTCTATCTAACGCCTATGATGTGCCGTCCCGCCCCAGCGAGCTGAGGGGAATACCTGTGCTGAGGCTTTAGTCCATAGTGTGTGTGGTTGAATCTTGCATTTAATTTGTTCTCCGCCCACTGGTTAATCATGGATGTTGTCAACATCTGCTTGAGAAAGGTTTTAAACCGGGTGGAGAGCACGATGTCCACTGGGTATCCTTCGTCGGCGACCCGGTTCAGGACCCACGCCCCACGCCTGGTGCTGAGGAAGACCTAGGCAGTGGAGAAAGACAGATCGCAGGGACGAAGTGTTCTGGCGCTCACCGCTTGGCGCTTCCTGGCACTGGCAGAAATTGTCACCGTCATGAGTTATTATGGACACCAGGGCGAGGAATGCAGGCCCCGGCGGAGGTCAAAGCTCCAGTGTGCTGGATACTCGTACAGCCACACTGGGGGGGACGCTCCTGCCCCACAGAGCCGACTGTCTCAATAGACCAGAGTGGAAAAAGGGAGGGAGGCAAATGGGCCCTGAGAGGGTCTATGAAGTGTCCAGGCCCAGAGGCTGTTTGGGTTTGGGATGTGGAGCAGTCCTGTTGACTCATTGCCCGGGGGCGTCGTGAAAGCCAGCCCCCCAGGGAGCTCAAACAATCATTAGACACATTGGATACCAAAGAGACGCTGGCTTGTGTCCCTGGCTTCCATTTTAAATAAGCAAGAGTCGCTCCCCGGTTCAGTGGAGGCGAAAGGTCACGTCGCCCGCAAAGCCGAATTGGCGGGGAAAGGCGGTAGACCCATGGCAGCGCCGTGAGGTAAACAGAATGTAGGCCAAAGGTCACAGGGCAGGATTGGCGGAAAGGAGCAGGCGGTCAACAGCGCCTGACAGATCATGACGTTGTGAGGGAAATAACGGTCGCAGGTCTAAAAACGATGTCCCGCGCCTAGAAAGAGGACTGAAACACGGTCCCAAGGTCTGTGCCGACGGGCCGACAGGGCAGCTGAGCGGAAGGCCGCGAGAGGCGCGAAGGGGGCGAAGGAGAAGCAGCAAGCGGAAGGCGAAGAGAAGGGGAGTGAGAGAAAGAGTGAAAATAGGAGAAGGCTCGGGGCGATGACGACGCTTGTCCAACAAAGCACCAGTTAATTGTGGCCATACAGCTGAGGGCATGTTCCCGCACCCCTCACGTCCATTCGCTACGTGCGCATTGCCCGGGATGGCGTTCGATGCGAACTCTGCTGACCCCTATGAACTTTGCTATCTCCTCTCTGCCCTCCAACGCCCACAGACAGGTGTCAGCAGGGGCTAGGCCAGGCCCTTAGACTGGGCCTTTCTGGGGCTGGCGTGGTGCGTTGGCTAGCTGAGGGCATGTTCCCGCACCCCTCACGTCCATTCGCTACGTGCGCATTGCCCGGGATGGCGTTCGATGCGAACTCTGCTGACCCCTATGAACTTTGCTATCTCCTCTCTGCCCTCCAACGCCCACAGACAGGTGTCAGCAGGGGCTAGGCCAGGCCCTTAGACTGGGCCTTTCTGGGGCTGGCGTGGTGCGTTGGCTGGTTAGCCCACTGCGGTGCCAGCCGTCCCTCTGCAGCCAAACCTGATCGGCTTCTTGGCTGAGCTCCACGGCCAGGTCCCCTCCCGAGTTGCCAATGCCGACCACAATGACTCTCTTCCCTCAGAACTCCTGGGGCTTCTTGTAATCCCGGCTGTGGCAGTAGCGGCCTTTGAACGTGTCGATCCCTGCCAGGAGAGAGCGGAGCCACTGCGGTGCTGGGCGCCAGGGCCGAGCGAGGGCCTTTGCCCACTTGAACGTCGTGGGGCCGGAGCTCCACACGCCCAGTCGGGGGATTGCCTGTGTTCATGGGAGGCCGTGTGGGCAGGGCCCTTCTGGGGTACCCCTCTCAGAGGCGCTCCACCGACCCACCATCCCGGGGAGACTGAAGATGGAAGGGGTAAAAGGAACAGGAGAGCTCGGTGCTAGCAGCTAAGCTTGCAAGGGAGCCTTCCTGCCCGTCCCAGCACACACAGCGGGGCTGTACCCGGGGAGGGGCGGGGCTTCAAAGCAGTTTGGGATCAGGAGACTTTTGCCAATACCAAGAAGCAGTTTGAGGGGTTCACACCCCTGAAGGAAGGGAAGAGTCGGTTCCCTCGGGGCCACATGCAGCAGCAAAGGGCGTGCTTCCTGCCCTCGAGACGAGCCCGGCAGCCATGGAGCTACGCGAGTGCTCGGAGACGTACCTGGGAAGGAGTCCAGCGGCAGATGGGGGTGGGTGTGGTGGCCGGTGCAAACCATGACCCCATCGAAGACGGCCGAGTCCTGCTTCCCCTCCGTCTCTGTGACCACGTCCCACTGGCCCGAGGTGGAGAAATCCGGGCGCTTTGTCACGCTCACCACATTGGTCTGGAAGGAAAGGGGCAGTCCCAGACCTGGCGCCCGGACACTTCGCCCGCTCCCCCGACGCTAGCCACCGCCCTGTGCCCGCCTCAGCCAGGCAGCACGAGCCCGGCTGGGACCAGCCCCCAGGGGGCCAGCTGGGCTCTGCTGGGTTTTGCCTCGGGGCTCCCCCAGGCCCCCGGCTCCCCCAGCGTCTGAGGCTGCAGCAACTCTGGGAGCTGGGCTATAACATCCCAGAACAGCCCCTCCGGCTCTCCCTGCTCCATGAGCATGAGCGGTTTCCTCATGGGGGGATTTTTCCACCCAGACCCGCAGGCAGGCTCGCACACTGTCCGAGCCCTGTTCGCGGCCGGTCTGCTCACCTGGAAGCGGACGTGTCTCAGGAGGCCGAAGCGCTCGGCGTACATGCGGAAATACTCCATCACTTTGGAGTGGTGCATGTAGTTGGGGTAATCCTCCGGGATGGGGAAGTCACTGAAGCACATCATCTCCTTGGAGGTGTTGATGATGACGGATTTGTAGATGCTGGCCCTGCCCTCTTCGGGATTCTCCTGCAGGAGGGGGAGGGGACACGAACAATACTTTTGAACAATGCACCTGAAACAAAGCTGCAGAGGCGAAGGTGGCAGGAAGCCGTCGGTGGGCTGGGCTCCCCTATTACAGATGTTTGCATGGAAGCCTCCCTTGTCTGCAGAAACACACCCTGAGCATCCTCTAATTGTCCCTCCTCCTTTGATGTAAAACACCCGCAGACACATGTGATATGCCTTTCCCTCTTCTTCCCCCCGCCCGCCACAGCCCATCCTCACCTCTCGGCCACACACAAACCCTGCAGACCTCCACTTCTGGGGGCATTTGCCAGGAGGTCCCCGTGACGGTGGGAATGATCCGGCAGGGAGAGTTCGCACCCAGACTCAACTCTACCTTGAACCTCCAGAGCCCCCCGATATCTTCACTGCTCTCGAAGCAGGTGGGCTCCAACCCATCATCCAAACAGCATTTGATGGCGCACAGCCCACTGGATCCACCGCCGATGACTGCAATCCTCTTGTTAGCCATGGCCACCTGTCTGAGGAGGGGGTGCGAGAGTTGACGGAGGGATCCTGGGAAGGGAAGAGAGCTTTACCTGAGGAAGAAGCCCTCCAGCTTCTGCAAGAACAACCAGTCCAGCAAAGGAATCCCTCCCAGAAACAGCTTTGTGCTCTGCATTTGCAACAGGCCCATTGGCCAGCTAAAGTTCATACGGGCCCCAGTGCTGTCTGCGAACAAGGCCAACGCCACCTCTGGAAGGCAAGAGGCAGGGGCCCCGCCTTGCAGAAGAGACCGGAGACTTGGGAGGGTCAGCTGGAGTCCCCTTTAAAAGTGTGGTGGACCTGCCCTCAGACCTCCAGCCCCGGAGTGTCCCTGCAGTCGCGGTTGGAACTCCAGCCCAGTGTTTCTCAACCGTGGTTTATAAAGTACCCCTTTTCAAAAAAAATAAAGACATTATAAGCACCCGGAGTACCTACAGGTTTCACACACACAACATTTTTTTTCTACCATTGCAACACATTTGTTTAAACAACGTCGTCATTGCGAGGTGGGCGCTGAAATTTTTGGGTGTAAAAAGTACAAAAATAATAAAGTGCTGTCAAACTTAAAACAGAAATTCAGTTTTTTCCAAATTTCAGTTGTGTTGATTACGACGTCTCTCGAGTACCCGAGGGTTGAGAAACACTGCTCTAGACCACACTGTAGAGCAGCCACTATCCCGCTATCCCAGCACGGCCCTCCCCATGCTAGAATTGTACAGTCCCTCGAGCAGTTCCTCAAATCCCCCTTGCCGAACCCCTGATCCCACACTCCCGTGCTATTCCACCTCCCACCGCCCGCACCTGCTACAGAAACAGCACTGGGTACGGCAGGCCAGCACAGATACTGCCACGTACCTGCTGTCTGGCGTAGCTGCTGGCTTTGCTGGATCCCACACGCTCAATTTCTGCCTTCCATCCTTTGCTCCCCCAGCACAGGAGGGAGTGGACTCCTGGTACTGTCTAAGTAACACATTAACTTGGCATCTGTCAATTGCTAAGCCAAGATGTACCTCCCCGAGTTAAACAATAACGTCCTTTCTTGCAGGCCCCAGGCACTTGTCCAGCTAAGTCAAATGTTTCCCTAGCTCCCGGCAAAGAGCGCACCTGTCGGAGGATTACAGCGAGCGGGGGGCTCAGCCGTGGGGTGCTGCCGCGGCGTACAGCCAGTGAGGCAATGGGTGTGCCTCTTGCGTGGAGGAGCAGAAGGGGGGGAGGGACGGATGGGCTGATTTGCATTCCTGGGCATCTGCGACTATGCTGAAGGTGCTGGTGGCTGCCATCAGTCCCAGACCTGGTGGGGGCCAGGGCAGTGGGACTAGGGCCCCCCGGGGGCCCATAAGCAGGTTTCAGGGTGTCTGCCAAACAGGGGCAGCATCAGAGCTGCTGGGGCTACGAGTCAGAGAGTTGAAGCCCCACCGTTGTGGCTGTGCAAGGTCCCTGTGGCATGGACAGCAGGGCCAGCAGCCACCGCGGGCTGGGGCAAGGTTTGCAGGGGCCGGCTTCAGACAGGGCAGAGCCTGGGGCAGAAGGGGCGGGGCTAAGGGCACTCAGCCCTTCGCGCTGCACCTGGCCCTCTCCCCCAGCCCTCAGAGGTGTTTCACTCTCGCCCTCCTCCCCAGGGGGCGACCTGCCTCCGAGAATGGACAACACCCCCAGTGTCATCCACAGCGGGGCTGGGCACCACGGGAGCACAGGTGAGAGGCTGCTGCCCTGTACGTGAGCCCCGTGCTGGTCCCAGGCCAGCCACAGAAGCAAGGCACGGCAGGACGTGGCTCTACCCGCAGCAGTAGGGCGGCAGCGTGGGAGACGGCTAGGCTTTAGCGCTGCTCCTGACTTCTGCCCTGTGTCCCCCTGCACCTGTCCAATCACATGCGCGTTGGGGGGTGCGCTCCGAGCGCCTGGCTTAGGCCAATGGTGATATGGGGATAGTATCGATCTTCTGTTCCACGTCCGTTCTATCCGGCCACCTTCACCTTCCCAAGCTCTACAACGGCTGGCGTCTTTCCTGGCAGACGGAAAGGCCAGATTGACTGGCTGCCCAACATACTTTGCATTCTATCTTCTCCTCTCGCGGTCACACCCAAGGATGCGCAGCGCACAATTCATGCCACGGGTGCCGGCTTGTGTCCAGATGGTACCTGGCGCCCCGTGGTATTCGCACAAATGGGGAGTCATTTTTTCTCCTCAGCGACGGCCAGAGCTGAATCCCTGATAAGCTTCGCCTTGGGTTTGGCAGAGGGCCAGTGGTGAAATGAAAGCCAGTGCAAGGTGGGTCTGGCTGCAAGTTCCCTGCTACCCCGTGAAATCACTACGACCTGAAATCTCCCCCGGCCTCGGCCTCACAACACGGCGTGGCAGACGTGCCTCGGAACAACGCAGGGCCAAACGGGCTTAATCCCCCGCTCAGTAAGATGGGAAAACACAGCACCATCCCTGGCTGCCTCTCGGAGGCAATACTCCTCCACCAAGCACCGAGCCGCGTGTCGGCAGCCGTGCGCAGGCCGGATTGTGGGACTGCCTGGGCCGTAGATGGCCTACGGGCCGGGAGCGTGAGACCTGCCTTAACTCATCACTCCCTTAGTACCACAGAACTGTAGGAGGGGAAGGGAGCTCAAGACGTTGTCTAGTCCAGGTCCCTGCCCTCCCGGCAGGACGTTACCTCCACCATTCCCGACGGGTGTCTGCCTCACCCGTGTGAAATTCCACAACCCTCAGCTCCACGGGAGGCGCTGGGGCTCCTGCGAGTTTATAAACGTGTTTCAGGGCTGTGCTCGGCTGACCTCGACCCCTGGCTCACCCCTTTCATGCTGACTTGAGTCTCATCAGTTCTGTGGCAAACCTGGTTCCCCCACCACCCCATCCCCAGCCCCCATCTACATCCATCCCACTGCCCATCTGAGGCCGTGACAAGCAGACAGGCCATGGTCGGGTGGGTTTCCGTGCTTTCTCTTAAAAAGGTATCTGGTGGTCTGCTCATTCAGCCGCCTTTCCCAGCAGCTGGTCAAACCAGGCTCTTCAAAGTGCCACCTTGTTTCAGGATGTTCAACAGAATTGTCTGCAAGTTACTCGGAGCCACGTTCCCGGCTGCAGGACCCATGGCTGGTAGAAATCTGCTTTCGCAAGTCAGCTCAGCTTTGTGGAGAACTCCCTCTGCCTGCACTCTGTGCATTGCCAGCGTGTGGCTCATTGCATGCCCCACACACACCTCCACCACTGGCTGTGTCACCCTGCTCCCTCCCGCGAGGAGCTTCCATGGACAGATGGACACACACCCAGGGGTGCGCATTTGCTTGGGCATCAAACGAGTGCAAGTGAAAAACAAAAGGTTCATTTGCAGGGGAAACCTGGCTTTTTAAAGTCCCCGCCGTACGGTGGGCCAGGTCCCCATCGGCTACGAACGGGCAGCGACGCCAGGGGAGCCGTGCGGATTTACATCAGCTCCCTCTCAGTCCCGCGCTTTTCAAAAGCAGCCAGGTTTCCTTTTTACAAAGTCATTCATGTCCGAATGCTTTAAACACCGGTGTGGGCTGGTCCCTCCAGCTCCCCCGCCACCCGTACCGCTGAGCCCCCCCCTCCACTGGGGTGGAGGGCTGGGCCTTCTGCTTCAGCCCATATCTGCCCGGGGCTGCTCTCTTCCTCAGTTCCTCCCTGGCCAGCTGCACCAACTCAAGACTCCCAACTTGTGGACTTTCAGCAAGCAGCCCCCTTGCTCGTGCCCATGGAAAGGTGACCCTCTGTTCCCCCGGTGCAGCCAGAACCTGTATCAGGCACGAGGCTATTCCACACCCACCTATGCTGAACATCACCGAAACACGCAACAAACCTGCAAATGCAACGATAAGGCCTAAGTGCCCAGGCAGCTCAATGGGGCCTGTGCTCTTGACCCCCCCGGAAGGGCTGCATCCGTCTCTTTGCCTCTTCCACCCCAGCTGGTCACAAGGGCGCTGCCTATTTTTTATTTAAGGGTTCTCGTCTGTGCTGACGCCGCCCCACCGTTTACTCCTCTCATTGGCTCAGACACATAAGCATGGGGCGGAGAAAAGGGTTTATCACGCTTCCATGGACAGTCTGTTTTTCTGGCCAGTCAATGGAAAAAAACAAAAACAAACCAAGAAGCCAACAAACCCTCTTTGTGACTCCTTCCTGCCGGTTTTCCTTGTAGCCCTTCTGTTAAACGGAACTAATCCAGCCAGTCTGACCACACTGAGGGGGAAGGCCGGCTGTGCTAGTTGACTGAGACCGGTCAACTTACTACCAGTGTCTCTGACTCCACCCCTTCACTTGCTGGCGATTCTGCAGCAGAGCTGTGTTCAGCTGTGGTGTGGCAGGGGCTGCAAGCGAATCCACCCACATGGCGTACGGGTTTGTTCCTGCTATGTGCAGCTGTGTAACGCACAGAGAGATCCAGGCCTTGGGCCAGGCTGTCTAGACAATGGACATGATGAAACAGGGTGCAGCCCCAGGAGGATGGGTGTTATTGTGAATGCTGCAGTCCTTGCTCCGACAGTCGCACAGTCTCTCAGCGTAGTGTGTCTGTATTACACGCAACACCACGGTTGCCAGGTGTCCGGTTTTCGCCTGGACAGTCCGGTATTTGTGGCCCCTAGCCGGTAAAAAACCAGAAAATACCAGACATGTAAAATGACTGATATTTTCGGTTTTTCTCGGACGAAAGGCCTGCAAGGGGTGTGGGGGGATTTAAAGGCGCAGTTGGCATCCACACACCCTAGTAACCTTACAGCTGCAGAGTCAAGCTCCATAACTAGGAGAAGCAAGGGGTCAAGCCGGCCCCCTAGTGCTCTGGCAGGGACAAGCTGAAGGAAAATGCGTGGAACTGGTACTGGGTCCAGGCCCCGTGGGCAAAGGGAGCTGCTGCCCCATTCTCGGAGCTCTAGTGCAAGAGGGGTTTGTGCACCAAAAGGAGCCGTCTGCACAGCCCGGCTGGCACGCAGACACCTGCTGGGGGCTGAAGAAGGGAGGCCGGCATAGGCTGCCCTCAGGGGAAGGCAAGCCAGGAGGAAAAATGTGGGCAAACCTGGTTTAAATTCCTCCCTGAATGCTTTGCTCTCCTGTTGCATGGCCGCGACGTGGGGTTCCAGGCAGGCTGCTTGCTCGCTCTGCTCCCCTTTGGGCACAGACTCCCGGCAGGAAGAACTGGAGGCGCCACTTACTTGGACCTATGGGTGGGCAGAGCTGACCTGCAGGGTGCCCGTTTAAGGCAAAATCCCACCCTCCCCAGGAGAGGGAAAGGCACCTGAGAGGCACATGCAGAGGGACCAGGGAGCGCCAGAGGTGGAGCTGCCGCCAGCCTAGCAGCCCTGACCAATGCTCAGGGATCACAAACCCCACTGAGGAAACCCCAGCTGGCGTCACCGTGCCCTGCTTCCCACAACAAGCCGACACACCAAGCCCCCGAACTGCAGCTGCCCGGCAAAGGGGCCATGGTAGAAATCGATTTCCTCTGACTGCCCCTGGGGCTGCGTCTGGATGGGCTGGAGCTGCGTCTGGATGGGCCCTGGAGAGCCGTATGCTGGGCTGGACGCTGTTTAACTCCAAGTTTGACCCAAAGCATCAACCAGCGGAGTGTTGGGGCTTGTGCTGTTTTGTAAGATTACGGGCGCCATGCTCGACTGGCCTGAAAGCCAATCCAGAAAGGCTACTCTCCTGAACGGCGTGCAGAGACCCTGGGGGGAGGCTGGACAGAGCCCGGGGAGCCAGGGGCCACCCCTCCCAGCACACCCCACCCGAACTCCTTACCATGCACGTCTCAGTCCCGAGCCTGCTTCCTCACGTGCCCGGCTCCTTCAGCCCCCTTCCCTGGGCCGGTCGTGTCAGACAAGCTACATGTGTCCTCAGAGCATCGGAGATGGACCCCTCGGGCAAGGGCCGCTCCTTAGCAGCTCACTGTGCTGCCGGTTGATCCTGTGTCCATTCCTGGCCCCGCGGGAGGCTGCGGCGTAGCACGGCACCCTCTCTCCTGGGCAGTGTTTCCTCGTCCTTTTCGATCTGATGCCTTTTCTGATCCCTGGTAGCTTAAGGAAGTCTCTCTCGCTGGAGCAGACTGTGCCTCTCTGGCTCAGCCGCCTCTCCTCTGCCAGATGGGTGGGTGGTTGGTCTTACCTGTATTAGCAGAGGGCAGCTCAGGGCTCCCCTGCTCTGGGTGCAGCACAAAGGAGGAAAGTCTGCACTCAAACCAGTGAGAGGAAACTGAGGCACACAGAGGGAACCAGCACCCAGGAGGTCGGTGCACAGCTGGGAACACAACCCAGCCCTCCAGATGAATGCAGCCATGGTTGCAAGCAGCCAATGTGCCACTCAGTCAAGGCGGGCAAAGAACTGTTTGCAGATGTTATTCAGTGAATAATTGTGAAGCAATGAATCACAGATAGGATGGCAGGTTTGAGGGCAATAAGATCTGCTGCTCTTGGATGATTTGGCCGGCTCTACAGGGGATAATGGCAGCTGAGCAGCGCGGATAGCCATCCTGGAAAGTCTCAGGGCCCAAAGCGGGTTGAGTTGTACAAACTCCACTCCCAGAACTGTACATTGCACAACACAATCCAGGACGTAAGACCAGGTGCATTTCAAGCTCCCATAAAAAAGAGGAGCCTAAATTGCTAAGCTAGCAGTGTGAACCTGGGCTGCCTGTCAAGCTCTGACAATATTACAAATTATGAGTGAAAAAGATATTGTCTGATGTTGGGCATGGAGAGTTAATACACTTTGAAAACCACGGAACAGAATGAATGTAAACATCTTAGCATTCATAAACTATGTAGGCTGCATTTTATTCCAGCATAATCTAGAAATGTGAATGCACAAAGTTCCTCCTTCCAGTCACCCGCACTGAGCACGGGAACGGGAAGGGAGGTGGGAGGAGAAAGTAGCTGAAAACCAATTCTGGAGTGGATACAGCCCCGTATGGCTAGCCAGCTGGAGTGGAGCGGAGCGGAGCAGGACTGTAATAGTGGGGATTAAACCCACTCATGTGGGGATTACCTCCCAGTGTTTAATTCTTCCCCTTTTACGCCACCAGAGCAGCATAAAGGGGCCTTGGCAGGCTGGAGAACGAATTCCTATTCTCTCCCACTATCTTCTGGCAAGACATTGTTCCTTTCCGGCTACTGATGCTGCGAAGAGTCACAGGGCTTGTGAAGTTCATACCCAACTTTGTACGCGATGACTGAGGGACAAAGGTACCTGGCTGTGAACAACAGGTTAGTTGTGAGGGTTGTGAAAGGGACACCTGTAACTTAGGGTTCACACCCCTCTGGAAACAGCCAGTGAGATCGACAGTTACTGGCGCAGCCGAGGCAAACATTTCTGGTTGTGTACACTCCCTGAATTCTGGGCATGTCACAGCATCTTGGCAAAGCTCACTTCCCTCCACTTTGTGTGGCTTTCACGCAGCAAGGGCTGAGGGAGAAGCAAAGCATTTTAAGTAACAGGACACTGGTTTGAAAGCCACAAAGACTGGTATGCCTCCCACCCCAAACTACCTTTCATTCTTACGTTTTCACCCTGACTAGATTACACGGTCGGTCTCCTTGGACCGGTCTTCCTTTTAGAAGGGCTGATGGGCAGCTCTGAGCAACAGCTCCAAGTGCAAATGTGCTCAGTAAACCATCTCTAGCAACGAGCAACCAAGCCTAGCAATTAGTCACTGCTAGAGCACCCTTTCTTTTCAGAAAATGGAAAGGAGGACAAGCCCAACTAGACCTGAAGTCTATGGATTTTTTTTACCCCCCAGCCCCCTGCTTTCCCGTCTGGGCATGGGGCGGAGGCAGGGCTCACATCTGCGCTTGCAGTGGTGGTGGGAAAGGGTAAGACGTCCACACTGATTTTCCATTGATTACTAGCATTGTGAAACATGGGCCAGGAGATTCTGGGTGCTGGCCAGATCCTTTCACGTGGCGACTGGGGACGTCATCGTCATCAACATTTTTAAGAAACTGGCCTGCACAGCCCTAAAATTGAAAACAGCAGCTAGTACGTGTCTAGCAGGCACCAGGGCACATGCCACGGCTCACTGAAAACCCTGCTGAAGCTTTCCAAGCGAACTCACCGTCAGCCGAGTCGGAGCACAGCATAAAGCCTCAGTGACCAGCATTCAGAATGAAACGTGTCACCCTCTTTGTACAGGGGCTGGGCTGGAAATCGGCTGCCTCTAGCTAGATCTTCTCAGCAAGGACAGTTGTCAAGTCTCCTTAAAACCACAGAGCTAATTACCTCTGCAAATATAAAATGACGGACCTCCCGCGAGCACAGCCAACCTCGTGAGATCATCTTGCTTAGCACCTTAGCAAGCTCCATCTGGAAACCAGGCAGGCTGTTTGCTCCACCCCGTGCCCAGGCTGGAAAGCAGAGGGCTGGAGACAAAAGATCCATAGAATTCTGATCCAGCTGGACTTGTCCTCGGTTCCACCTTCCTTCCCATTGGCAGGCTGCTTCAGAACCTCTTTCCTCTGATGGCAGGAAGCCTTCTGATTTCCAGCCCAAACGGATTCCTGGCCAGTTCAGCCCCAGTTCCTCTTGTGCCCGCACCGTCCTTCAGCTTCAACCACTGTTCTCTGTCTGGAGGGTGACCACAGGGAGGGAGCGAGCGATCAGACCCCCTCTCCACATGCCTTTTCCTAGTCTAACCATGCCAGGCTCTTAGTGTGCCCGTCATGTAAGACAGGTTTTTCCATTCCCCTCATCACCCTAGCAGCCCCTCTGTGCCGGATCCAGTCTGAATTCATCCTTCTTGAACAAGAGCAATGGCACCCACAGCACCCCCCTCCCCCCCAATCCTACTCAGTCACCGGGCTTTCGGCAAGAGCACTTTTGCTCATCTTTGACCCCCATCTTACATAATCTTGGCCCATCAAGTCATCAAACTAGATCCTAAAGCCCAGGGCTCAGAAGACTTTCTATTCCAAATGACTCATACCATATGATCATGCTGGGCTACCAGAATGCTGGGCGGGCTGGGTCCCCCCCCTCAGGTCTGGGGCTGCTCTAGCCCCAAGCTTCCCACCCGTAGGCACCATTTAGAGAAGGGGACATTGTTCCCTGATGAAAGGGCACAGTTGGCTACATTCCTCACTCTGGCTGGGGAGTGGAGGAGGCAGATGAACTAGGACCTGCCTCAGCCGAGGGACATGCCCCCTGCCCTGGCTGTGCCCACTAGGGGTGCAACAGCCACGGAGAGGTGCTTCTCACGACCCCACGCTACTGCAATGAGGGGACTGGGTAGTTCTCTCTCCCCAGGGCAGCCTGAATCCTGAACCCCTCACCCCCAACCCCTAGATCTAAGTGAAAAATAAAATTGAATTGGGTTAAGGACCAGAGCAACACTGGATAAATCTCCTAGTAGATTTATAAGCACAAGACAGTTCTCCACACATTCCTACAAAGCCACACAACCAGTGTCCCGGAAGAACGAAAGCTGGATCCCAGATGTGTTATTTTTACTTTAATATCCCTTCTGTCATCTGCACATCTCTCAGCACCGTAGGGAAACAGGACTTGCCATACTGGAAGAGATCATTAGTACTCCTGGTACAGTAATTGGTATTAAGAATCAACATTTCATCCATGCGCGGAATGCATTTTTCTATGTGCACCGACATGTGTGTGAATATGCACCACCAGCAGAAACAAAACCAAGAATTCCACTAATCACCTTGGGGGCACCTGAATCCCTCCTGAGCGGCCTCACAGGCACACAGCTTACAGGGAACACTTAAGGGTACAGTACATTGCATGGCACTTCGTTTTTAAGCTAACAGTTTTCTCTTTCAGCCAGAACTCTTCCATGAACACAATATGCCCACAAATGTAATTTCTCAAGTAGTTCTACAATCTCTTTACAGTTCAGACACCGTGCCTTCCCTCGACAATCCCAAAAGAGGGAATTTCTACCTCTCTCGTCATGCAAAGAACCTGTTTTTCCTTCTTGGAGATCCGTCAGGCCCAGGGGAACTTCCTCCCCCTTTGCTCTAGCTAAATAATTTATTTTCTGCCTCTTTGGAAACTTGTCGTTTTCCTTTTCATCACCGTTCTACACGACATTTTTGTTCTTTCCCATTTGTCTCACCAAGCGTACAGCTCCATTTGTAACCATCACAGAAGGGAGAAAAACGCTGCAATACAGTTGGGCACACATCACTTCTACTGTCACTTGGATTGCATTTTTCTGTAGTGAACAGCAGGGCTATAGCCAATGTGCTCCGGTTTAAGACCAGGAATCATCTCATGGAAATCAATGGGACATACTGAAGTCTCTTGCCGAACTGAGGCCTACATACCTCAGTTCAGGATCTCCATGGAGCTTACTTATTTTGAAAGACCTAAAAAGTCGACCTCACGTGTCCTCATATGGCATTAACTGTTTGCATGTTGTCTGGCTTTCGGCAGAAAAGCAGGGGGAGTAACCGTGCGGGAGCACCCTGCTCGGATGACAGATTGGGAAAGGGGGCTCTGCTTGCCCCACTGCTAGGAGAATCTTGGCCAGTTTGCAGTGACAAACCGCACCCCGACTAGAGGAGAGCTGGTAGAGACAACCCACCGCCCAGTGAACTCCTTCCACAGCCCTGTTCGGGCATCTCCTCCCCTCAAACTGCCGGCTCCCAAGGTATTCCAAACCAGACGCCTTCACCTTTCCGGCAAGCCACCCACTTGGCAGGAGGCTCTATAACTGGAATGTGACGGGCAAGTGAGAGGCAAGGTGCTTCAAAAGGAGAAAGAATCAATGTAGAGAACCTTGGTCATCTCAAAGTGATAGAAGAGGCAGCAACAGAAGGGCACCCACAAGAGAGCAGAACCCATGTGTGACTGCCCTCACGTTAGCATAACGTACTGTGGCCGCTAGGGGGCAGTCCCACGGCTAATCAGCCACAAGGGCACCGGTCAGTATATTGACAGCACACAGGGACGGTTTTCAGCAAGTAACCACATGACAATATTTGTAAGAAGGCATGCCTACTGTTTAAGCTAGATGAGCCGGCTGCACAACAGGCATCCTGTGCTGTATGCTGATTCATGGGATTTCTTTGAACCCCAGATCTTACTGATGCATGTTAAGTACCAGGAAAAAAGAATTAGCAGCTTGGCCTGTGTGCACGTCTCCCTCTGGTAGCACCACCTGGAGATATGGAGCAATTGCATCATGGAATGGTCAGAGCAGCCATACGGGCTGGTACGTGCTTCGACCCAGCAGCACACTGAAAGCAGGATGGCCCCGAGAATAGCTGTCCCTCAGATCTCACTGCGTCCCACCCGCAGCCCAGGTATCGCGCAGAATGAAGCATGATGTTGCGGATACCATCAGCCCCGCTGATCAGATGAGGGTGATGATCCTTTCACCAGCCCCAGTTCACACTCTCTGCGCAGGACAGGACTCTGCAGTGTGTGCACCTCGTCCTTTTCATGAGGGCCATCACTGGTTCCACACTGCAAAGAGAGCAGGTGCGCTGAGGGGTGAAAGCCAGAAGTATTTCACCACACTGTACTGCATGTAACCCATGAAGAAGCCAAAGACCACGTCTGACACGTTGTGTCTACCCAGCATGACTCTGGAGATGCCCACAATGACGGCCCACAGAACCACCAGGACCCGCAGAGGAATGGCAAGCACCAAGTGGTGCAGGACGAATCTGCACACCATGGCCGCTCGGGTAGCATGGCCTGATGGGAAGGAGTATTTGTCCACTGAGATGGTGATAAACATGTCCATCTTGTTGTAAGTGGGACGTCTTCTCCTCACAAGCCCTTTCACCACGGCCACCAGGACTAAATCCAGCACCAGAGCTAGGAGACAAAAGCAAAGGGGTTATTGTAACAACATGTGTGTTCCAGTTCACCAATGCACAACAGGAAACAGCTCATTATCAATGTGTCCTAGGCAGCCCACGTTCTTTGGCTGGCCAGGAGTTGCAAGGATAGAATAGTTTATAGGAGGAGAATGCCTCTTCTCCCACTCCAAGATCCTCTGTTTCCCCTCTTCCTTCCCTCCTTCAAAAGTCCCAGAAGAGACACCAGAGCTACTGCAAAGAGAGCCTGCTCCTTGCACCAGCACAATCCCAGAACTTTGAATCAGGGCTACCCCCAACGACCCTTCCGTGTTTTCAAGTGCGCAAACGTGGCAGCCCATTGTGTTTATTAGACAGTGGGCAACGGCACCGCTAGCACCAGCTCCTGAAAATGAACTTGGCAGTAAAGCGGCGAGGACACTGGTTTGTATGCATGGCAAAACCATCACAAGTCGCCACCCGGGATTGTCTGGCAGCTGTAATGCCTGTGCATGCTGAAGGCCAGGATTCAGGTGCCCAGGCACAACCGAGTGACTCAACCAGACTAGGACAACGTGCTGAGCTGTAAGCTGCAGGACTAGTAATGGCTTCAAGCACTTCAATAAATACTTAGCCACTTAAGCCACTTCCAGAAGCCCCACAAGCAGGACTCCTCACTGACACTTAAGGTTAGGGTTCAGCTTGTGCACCCACGCTCACAGGACCAGGCCTACCGTATATTCCGGCGTACAAGACGACCTCTGAAGTTAAAAAACATCCCCCAAAAATCGGGGGTCGTCTTGTACGCCGGATGCCCCGCCGCCGGAGCCCCTCCGCGGCTTTGAAAGCCTCGGGGGAAGCCGGCGGGGGGGCATCCCAGGCGCGCATGGGCTGCCCCCCCGCCGGAGCCCCTCCGCGGCATTGAAAGGCTCGGGGGAAGCCGGCGGGGGGGCGGCCCCGGC